TTTTTTTTTTTTTTGGTCTTTTTGAGACAGGGTCTCACTATGCAGTTCAGGCTGGCCTTGAGCTCACTTTGTAGCCCAGGCTGGTCTCGAACTTGCCATGATCCTCCTGCGTCAGCCTCCCAAGTGCTAGGATTACAGGCGTGCGCCACCATACCCAGTTCGGTCCCTCCTTTTCGTGAGAGAGAAAACTTGTCCTTTTAAGCACTCTGGAGGCTGAGGCTGAAGGGTTGCAGAGTTTGAAGCCAGCCTGAACTACATAGTGAGACCTTGTCTCAGTTTGTCCTCCTAAATTAAGCTCCTATGTATTCATATCCTGGCCTTCCTAATTTGCATAGATACGTGAAAAGGGGGGGTAGGCTTCTGTTGGGTTAATTCAACCTGTCCACGTTTAAGTTGGCCCCCTGACAATGAATAGAGGAACACTAGAGGGGTTTTAGGTGTGTACCTCACTTTTTCTGTATGACTGGTTTGTCCTAGAGTACAGAAAGGAAGTTGGACAGGCTGTTTATGTTTACCTCAAATAATTCATTTGTGGGTACATTGTTAATTCACTTAGCCACGTAGGTTATACATTTTCCCCAGCAGCTTGGAGACTTTTGTGCTGAAAAAACAGTAGGCAGGTGTGGTGAAGCACACCTGTACTTGGGAAGCTGAGGCAGGATTGCCAGGTAGAATATTATAAAAGTGGTTCTGCTTATTCAAAAACCTTAGCTTCACTGAAGAGCTGTTGAAAATAGCGTAGTGGCGCAGGCCTGTGATGCCGGGGGCAGGAGGCCTGGTGGGGAGGCCAGGAGTGGAGCCCGCCCTGGACAGCTTGGCGGCCCCTGCCTTTTTTTTTCCCCAGCTCCTGTCTTTAGAAAAAGTGCTGCGGGGGCTGGGGATTTAGCTCAGCGGTACAGCGCCTGCCAAGTGAGTGCGAGGTTGTGAGTTCAGTTCCCGGTACCAGGGTGGGTGGGGGAACAAATAAATAAATAGAAAAAGTGCTGCAGTGTAGGTCTGCGTGAAGGGTCTGGGATCGGTTCCCAGTATTTTTTTTTAAAAGTTGACCCTGCTTTCGGGGTCAGTATGCCAGTGTGTGTCCTCAAACAGCTGAAACAAATAGAATTTTCAGAACATGGAACAAAGTGCATCTTTGGGGTGGTGAGTCCACAAGGGTTTTGTTGTTTTTTGTGTTTTGTTTCGTTTTTTTCTGGGTTTTTTTTTGGTCTTTTTGAGACAGGGTCTCGCTATGCAGCTCAGGCTGGCCTTGAACTCACTTTGTAGCCCAGCTGGCCTCAAACTCAAACTCACAATCCTCCTGCCTCAGCCTCCTGAGGGCTGGGATTACAGATGTGTGCCACCGCGCCCAGCTTAGGGGGTTTTGTGCTCTGTAATTAGTCCCTCCCCTGGTAAATGTGGGAGGGAATCCTAGGCAAAAATGAACACTAACCCTGATGTCGAGATTTCAGTTTGCTTAGTAACATTCAGAGTAAGCGGGGATCAAGGTTTAGGATGGTCTCCAGGGACCCTACTTTTAAGAAAGAGCCTCACACTTACAATAATTGGTGGTGGGGCTGGGGATTTAGCTCGGTGGCACAGTGCCTGCTTGGCAAGCGCAAGGTCGTGAGTTTGATTTCTGATACCAGAAGAAAAAGAAAAAAAAAAATTGCTGGTGTACATCTGTCATTCTAGGCTGAGACAAAAACTCAAGCAAGAGTGAAACCCTGTCGAAAAGTTGGGCTGTGTACAGGGACCAGGGATCTGTATAAAGGGCAGGGACCTAGCTCAGTGGTACAAGTGTCTGCACAGTAAGCGCAAGGTCCCAAGTTCAATTCCTGGTACCAAAAAAAAAAAAAGTAAAATACACAATGCCTTTAAGTCCTCTCAAACCACTACCACCCTTCCCCCGTTTCAAACATCCCGCCCTTGCTGCTTTGAAGCAGTTGTGGAAGGGTGGGGTCTGCTTGTGTATGTGTCTGCCTTGATGTCTGGGCTTGACTGGAAACACCTTTCCTGGTCATTCTGACTTAGAGGACAAACCAGAGGTGACACTAGTGTTCATGAGTCTGTTGGAGGGTACTCTGCAGCAGTGTTCATTGTGTTTTTATCACACCTTACCAGAATTTTTTTCAGTGTTGGGAATTTAAACCTGGGGCCTTCACACAGAATTACATTTTTTCCCCCCCATTTGATAATCCCAAAGTATTGTAAAACCACTCCTGGTGGCTAATGCTTGTAATCTCAGCCGTTTGGAAGGATGAGGCAGGAGGATTGTAGATTGGAGTGCAGCCTGGGCACTTGAGTGACAGAGACCCTGCCTCAAAAATAAAAAGGGCTGGGGATGTAACTCAGTGCAGAAGTCTGGGTTCATCCTTGGTACTACAAAAACAAAACTTGCAATTTTGCTGTGTCCAGAGGTAGCTCCGGCGATACAGGTCAGCGGCACTGCGCCTGCCTGGCAAGTGCAAGGTCATGGGTTCAATTCTTGCCACCAAAAAAAATTTTAAAGTCAAGGTACAGTAACGTACACTCCTGGCACCTTGTAGCTTTGTAGTGTGCAGTCCGCTTGCTTAGCAGCATGGGGTCCTGGTTCCATCCCCAGCACCAAAAGGAGAGACTACGTACAGAGCACCTTTCCGTAGTCCTGGCTCTGGCTGGTGGTGGCACACGCCTGTAATCCCAGCACTCAGGCCGAGGCCAGCCAGGGCTACTCAGTGAGTTCAAAGGCAGCCTCAACTACAAAGAGACCAGTCTAATACATGTGTACGTACATAAAATGGACTCTAGGGAAAAAGTATATTGTAGTCTCAGCTTCTCCCTAATACTTTTTTTTTTTTTTTGGTCTTTGATACAGGGTCTCGCTATGCAGTTCAGGCTGGCCTTGAGCTCACTTTATAGCCCAGGCTGGTCTCAAATTCACAACGATCCTCCTGCCTCAGCCTTCTGAGTGCTGGATTACAGGCGCACCCAGCTCCCTAACACTTCTGAGAGTTCACACTTAACATATGAAGGGTATTCAAGCCAGGTGAGGACCCTCCCTGGGCACTGCCAACTGTTGGTCAGTGTCCACCTGTGAGGTTGCCCCCTCGTATCTGGGGTTCATGGGAGTTGATTTATGGAAGGCCTGAATTATCCTTTACCCCAACCTAAAGCCTCCCTCCCTAACCCAGCATGTCGGGGCACGATTGTGTGCAGTGCCTGTCGTGCTGTGTAGGTTAATGTGCTCCTGTAGTTTGCACATGTAGCTTTTTGTTTTTGCAGCATTTTTGAACGCATGACCATCCCCGCTTGCTTCCCTGTCTCTGCCTCTGTCTCCCTCTGTCTTTTTCTCTCTCCAGGGTCTCACCTCAAACTCACAATGCTCCTCTTGCCTCAGGCTTTTAACTGCTGCAATTACAGACATGTCCTACTGTGTCCAGCTCCTTTATTTGCTTGTTTATTAGTTTTTTGATGCAGGATCTTACTGTGCAGTACAGAATCCCCCCCCCCTTACCAGGAATCGAACTCATGACCTCACACTTGCCAGGCAGGCCCTGTGCCGCTGGGCTAAATCCCCAGCCCTTGTGTAGTCCAGATGGACCTGAAACTCGCAGCAGTCCTCCTCCCTCAGCCTTTTAAAAATGCCAGTATTGAGGATCATTGAGAGTTCAAGGCCAGCCAGGGCTACAAAGTGAGCTCAAGACCAGCCTGAACTGTGTAGTGAGACCCTGTCTCAAAAAGACAAAAATAAATAAAAATAAAATAAATAAATAAAAATAAAAACGCCAGTATTACCAATGTGCACCACCATGCCTGATTTTTCTTTCTTTCTTTCTTTTTGTTTTTTTGAGACAGTGTCTTGCTATGCAGTTCAAGCTGGCCTTGAACTCACTTTGTAGCCCAGGCTGGTCTCGAACTCACAATGATCCTCCTGCCTCAGCCTCCCAAGTGCGGTGATTACAGGCGTGAGCCACCACTTCTAGCTTTTCTTTCATTTTTACTGCATTGTCTGTTTGTTTGTTTTCTGGTACGGAGAATCCAACTCACAACCTTGCACTTGCCAGGCAGGCGCTGTGCCACTGAGCTAAATCCCCAGCCCACTGCATTGTCTTTTACTGTGTTCATTTGGTCTGTTTAGGTAGAGTAGAGAATCAAACCCAGGGCCTCATACACCCTATCGTTTAGCTACAGACTCCACTAAAAAAAATACATGCTTCAGGAAAATAAAAACTTTTTAAATACTTTAATACTAAATGAAAAAAATGCTACATTAATTAAGCTGAGGGTGGTGGTGCACGTCTGTAATCCCAGCACTCAGGAGTCTGAGAGAGGAGGATCACTGCAAGTTTGAGGCCAGCCTGAACTGCATAGCGAGACCCTGTCTCAAAAAAAGACTGAAAACAAGGAAAAAAAAAAAGTGCTCAAAGTGTGGCTGTTAGCTTCCAGACATTTATTACTATGACAAACTGCTGTTTGCATAACCCTGGTCATTGAGACTGCTACACATGCATTTTCAGTTTCTTCTCTAAGCGCCCACAGTGTAGTGTGTTTTCTGCAGTACACAACATATTTTATGGTCCCCTGTAGTAGGGTAACACCACGTGTTGAAAAAATACACTGTTTTTCTTTTCCTGAAATGTATATACATTTTTTGGTGGATTCTGTATGTCCTCAAAACATTCTTTCAGTAACTGTTAAGTATGCAGGTGTGGGCTAGGTATGGTGGCACACACCTGTAATCCCAAGACTCCTGAGGCAGGAGGATCACTGTGAGTTAAAGGCCAGCCTGAACTACACAGTGAAACCCTGTATTTAAAAAACAAAAAAGGCTGGGGA